CTCGTTCTGTTTTTTTTCCGGATTTTTCAACTTTCAACCGCCAGATATTCCACTTTTGATTGATGATACATACTATTTATATCTGTTGACTTCAGTTGCACACACTACAATATAAGGCTTTAAAAGTATCAATTTTATAGACAAAAGTAACTTTCTGAACATCAACAATTTAAGAATTCTTAGAGAATATTCGGGAATAAAGAATACTAGAGCAAATGATCATTTTAGGCTCTACAATTATACTTTGTATACTACTTAGTCTTTGGTCAAACATGTGATCTGATTTGTTATTCAAATATTATTTCTCACACACTATGTTGTATTTATTTATTCTAATTATTATTGTCATCATTCAATTAATCTATAGACTTATTTAAGTCATATTTTATCATTTTAAACAATATACTTGCATGATACGTGGCCATTCTATTGAATGATCAATCCGGATGTATAACTATAGGACAGATTGACATCGAAAACAAGAAAACAAAATTAAATCGTTTATTATTATTTTTTAAAGAATCATATTGACACTAAGTAATAACAAGTTACTATCCATTCATCAATCAAAGTAATTAAACAAACGTATTGGTAACTAGATAGTTCACTATTTTATTTTATAAGCAAAATATTATCACATGAATTTGATTGGTTGTATTTATTGTCAGTTATATGTACTATACTTTAGTACTTAGAATACATGGTCGATATACTGAAAGTAAACCATGGAAAATTTAATAATAATATGATGCATAAACAATGACCTAATAAAATCAATCATCCTAATCTTAATAAAAAACATAAACTTTCATTAGTTATATAGTGTTTGCACTTTTCGGATAGGATAATTTTCACTAATGAATTCACAGTGTCATTGTGAATGTAGATATAACTTTTCAGTAACCAATAAATACTTTCATTATTTTGCATATTCCATGTAATTTACAATTCATAATGTAGTGTTTCAGTTCAATTATTTGGTGTAGGAATGATTTAGAGGGATCGTAATTACTTAGCATAAAATGAACTACTGTTTACTGGAGATTATTTTGAATCATATTTTAAGATATAGTTCATGTATTTATTTTAGTTGACTGTTGAATTTCCTTTTAACAAAATAAAAGTTTTCTAATTAAGACCCACATTATTCAATGAGTAATTGATTACTTAGCGTTATAACAATGGATGAGATGAAGCTACTCGAACATCCTACTATTCTACATTTCACAGGTTGAAATCATGAGTCATTTGAAGCTAGACCACCATGGAAAACCTGGAAGCACTGGACGGCCGTTTCGTCCTAGCATGGGGCTCCTCAGCAGTGCGCATCCACGATCCCGCCCCCCGCGGGATTCGAACCCAGGACCTACTGGCTTCGCGGGCGAGCACTTAACAATTAGACCACTGAGCCGGCATCCAACGGTGTTAATGTCTAACTTCAACCAATTCGTCCAGTGCTTCCAGGTTTTCAATGGTGGTCCAGCTTCAACTGACTCATGATTTCAACCTGTGAAATTTACTAAAATCTCCACAAAACTCATTCTGATAATATTCTACATTTGCCTATTTTTTTTCTCTCCCTTAGATGCTCTTAAATTCAATCTTTTGGAATTATTCAACGTTGTCAGTGTCATTATCAAGGTTTGATTTGACAACTTCGAATAAATTAAGCATTTAATAGGTTGCTAATAATAGAAATGATATATATATACCAAAAATATGTTACTTGTATTGTTAAGTCAACATCATTCTAGATTTCTTCTTAATACATATGTGAATGTTTAATATCCCCTATGTAATTTACAAATGTTGAACCTTTTAAAATATGTTCATGTTTTTAATTAATAGATTACTTTTTATGTACAGTAGTGATTAACTATTTCTCAAAAATTATAAACAACCAGCTAACTTGATATTTTAGAATTTAAGTTTAAGACGAATGCTGATTAAATATTGTACTAATTCTGTCAATTAAAAAACAATTTTTATTGAGATTGAAAGAAAAATACTTTGATGAAACTATAATTTATGGACGATCTTTGAACGACGCCAAAATGATCTTGAGAGTGTCTGTCTACTTACTAAGACTAAATAAGGATTATAAGGCAGTTTGAAGTATAAGTATTATGATTCACAGTTGATGGTTAGGGTTAAATATTAGATTTAAGATTTTTCATCACGAACTAACATCAGCTAAAATACTATTTGGCTAAATGGGTGAGTGAATTTCGCGCCAAAATCCAAGACCTGTTATCCTAAATCTAATTGGTTTGCCCATAAACTATAGTCTCGTCAAAACTTTAAAGAAATTTTGAAATGAAAAATATTTTGTTGAAAGCCTCAATATTACGTTGAAATAGCTAATAAATGTATAATGATCACAATACAAGGGTAGAATAATTAAGTATGAATTATCTTAACTTATATTCAGTGGCAGTTTAACTATATAGAAAATTTCGAGTTTATATCTGGAAGTCTTTTTTTTTCTGTTCGTTGAGTTTACAACTTGATACAGAGACAGAAAAGAATTTGTAATTCAAGTTAACAATTCCGATGGTACTTCATTGACTAAGTAAGTTGATTTTAATCATAAAGCTCTCAGTGTCCTTCTGGATAGCATCATCAATACAATCTTAAAAATAGGATTAAGCTAATCCAATTTCTCTACATATAACTGACAGTTTGTTCTGTCGACCTTGATCATGATTGATTGTTGTTGACCCTTTTATCCAGTTATTGTTTGACAATTTATTAAAATTGTTATCCTCTTTGACTTGATTTTTCCCCTAATCTTTGATCATGATTTTCTTAATCGGTTGACAAAATGGATCCATTTCAATATGTTTGTTGATTACTTATTGACCTCAGTCCACAGCTTTTATATCAGATAAAGTAAATGGCTATTTAATTCTGGTCTCCATGATCATCAATTGGCTTTCAGATGACATGATGTGTCTTCCCTTTTATCAATGCAAATCGACAGTTTCGGACACAAGTTAGACTAGGGAAATGTCGAAAATTTAGAGAGAAGAATTACAAAAAATCCAAAGGATATTCGGAAGCTCAGTTTTCACGTTAATAAGTAATCAGTAAACATATCGTAATCTATCCATTTTGTCAACCGATATAGAAAATCATAGAAAAACTGTTATAACTTGTGAGCCTTGTGCCCTATTTATGTATAACGTAATGATACTGCCAATTAGAGAACAGTGATTTATCGACCAGTTCAATGACGCATCTCTAGAGTCCTTATTGGTTCTTCTCCCTGCCTAACCATGCCTGTTCAGTCCAGAACACCAACCTCTGCGATAAGAATAATGAATTTCAAACATACTGGGTTTATATACGAACCAAACAGACTATACTGCATCACAAAATAAAAAAATAACATTTGTACAAGATCTAGCCAAAAGCGGCTGTGAATGTGGTAAACTGTAATTAATAGACTGGGTATAACTCAAGAGTGGTAAATCGCATAATAATAGTTTATGGATCAAAATAAAGATCATAACAAGAGGAACATGAATATGCATATTCTAGCTACTTAACAATTATACAGTAATGATATATGTATCATGCTGGTCCATAAATAGTTCTCAAAATTTACCATTTATAATCCTCCTCGGTATATAACACAAACATTAGGGGAAAAATCAAGTCAAAGAGGATAACAATTTTAATAAATTGTCAAACAATAACTGGATAAAAGGGTCAACAACAATCAATCATGATCAAGGTCGACAGAACAAATTGTCAGTTATATGTAGAGAAATTGGATTAGCTTAATCCTATTTTTAAGATTGTATTGATGATGCTATCCAGAAGGACACTGAGTGCTTTATGATTAAAATCGACTTACTCAGTGAATAAAACCATTGATTAACTGGTATTTTCCTACACCTTACATAAATGACTGATTCATGCTGTTTGGCCAAATGTTAACCAATTTTACACTAACTACATAGTTAGTCACTTCATCTTACTTTACTTTTAAAAACAATTCTATTTACTTTAATTTAAAAATATGCATTTCTTTTGGAGTATTGAGTGTTTGAAACTTCCCATTGATGTTTAGGACTGCCATTGATCGGTCTCTTGTTAGCACATGTGCATCCTGTGTAGATTGCTTCAATATTGCCTTCAGTCACAAGCATTATAAGCACAGATGGATGGTGACTATCAGTGGAATTCAAGATGTGTGTTTCGTCTTACTCGGGACTGAGGCCATTATAGAGGCAATGCATACAGGATGCATATATGCCAATAAGCGACCGATCAATTTCAGTCCTAAACATCGATCGGAAATGTCATGAAACCAATAAAATAAGTGAATGGAACATCACCACATTGTACAGGCTAGTGGACTCAGTAGCTAAGTGGATAACGTAATGACGTTGAAGTGAACAGTACTGGGTTCGAGTCGCAGCGTGAATATCAACTTTGAGATTCATGTTCCAAATGGGACGATAGGTACCTCCGTGATACCAACGCTAGTCACCATTCATCTGCTCTTTAAAGTCACTTCAATTTTATCCCTTTATTGCTTTTGATTGATTTTATTTTCTCTATGTTCACTCTCATCTCTTAGTTGATTTACTAAAATAAGTCGTAACAAGTAGGTTCCATTGCCATTTATCCCAATTCTCTTACTGTTTCTATCAAATAACTCTTAATAGTTAATCATGAAAAAACCAGTACAAACACACTACAAAGAAAAGTAATAGTTGTTGAAGGTTATCATAACTGAAATAAACCGATCAAATTACTAAAGCCATTAAAATTATACTTTCTTCGAAAGACTGTTATATTTTCGAGTTTAGTTGGGATTGTAGATGCTTTACTTGATGAAGATCTTGTTGTAAACTAGAAAGTCTTAGTATGTATGGATATCTAATTTGATTAACTTTCAGGTAACTCATTAGAAACATTTAGTTACTTTTTACTACAAACCAGCAATTTAAATAAATGACAGATGTAATTTTGTCCTGTTTTAATAGGCTATGTGGGGTCGCGGATCTGGTCTAGCCAACCTAGGACTTAATACGACAGCTACAGCAAATCGTAAAACTCATCCTCATACAGCGGTTGATTCAAGGGATAAAACGTCTAGTAACCGTGAAGATATATCCTCAGCATCGAATTCCGGAGCAAGTGGACAAAGTAGCGTTCATTCAAATATTCACCGACCAGGTCATCCTGCCTTTTTTGTAAGCGGAAATGCAACACCAAGTTGTGAACCCCCGGTGGTCATATCATTAGAAGGACCAGTTAGTCCTAATGCATATGGACAGCAGAGTTCCGAGCCGAAAACCGTACAAACAGTACATTCACGTTTTAGGCAGTTTTGGGTAGAGACATTTGTTGGGGGACGTTCTAGAACGAAATCTGAAAATCAAACTCCTTTGCAAGCTGAGAGTCATAAAGTGAGATTTTCTGATCGCCTAAATGAACCATTAGACCCAGAAATGGACGTCTTACCGCCTCATGCATATACAATAACTGGTGGTTCAAGTCAAGCTGCTTCAATCCTACGACCTTTGGCCGTGTATACTAACCTTTCTGGTCCTCACTCAGATCAAGTATCCCCACGATTTATCTCATCTGGTACTGGTAGTCTTCGACGACTAGTATCTAAAAATCATCGGGGTGGGGCAAATGGAATGTCAATTACACCTCCAGCATTTTCACTATCCCATCAAAGCGATAAATTTTGGTGGTCAAAATCTCCTATTGGACGAAAAGAACGTTTTGTTTCTACCGGTAATATAACAGGGAAAAGTTCGGATGACCTTTATATACATCCAAAACCCTCTAAACTACCTCGTGAACAACCAGTTAGTAGTTTGGAATTTACGACTTCACGATTGAAAAATCCGAAGAAGGTAATTTTTAGACATTTTTATTGAAATAAATCAGTAATTACGTAAACTCTATTCATTGAATTTTGAAATAAGTTGAAAATATATTCAAATTCTTTTCAGATAAAGGATGAGTGGTATCTTGAAGAAAATACAATAAAACACATTACGTACTGACAACAGAAGAAAGTACTAATTATGATAATTACTTTATTATATATGATTCGGCCTCCATATTTTAGTGTTCAATGAGTGTGCAATATCCAGCATTTCCAGTCACTTTTCTGTTTATTTAATGAACAGTTGTTGTATCTAAGTGTGATTTTGACTGGAGATTTCATTTTAAGCTCCTGATTTTACTAGTTTTTATCTTTCAGTATGTCAGGATTTGTTACACAAGCGTGTTCATAGATGACTAGTATAGATAGCTTTAGATGGTTGAAAGGAAATCTCTAGTGACAGTTATGCTCTTATACGTATTTAAGTCGAATATTTTCTTTCTTCTTCCTACGCTCACTTTATTGCAAAAATTTGGTGTCTGGTGCTGATGATAAATACATTAACGCGTAAACAATCACATATCCTAAATTACCAAATCGTGTATTGACAATAGCACTAGAATGATGTTAATAGTAAAATTTAATATTTCCTAATAGTGGCATTTTGTTGATTCTCATCATCATTAATTTTGGATTATTTATTTTGTTATTGTCTTAAGTTTACAACAAGAAACAAAATATGGATGCGTACTTCTGATAAGTCCCATACTAGAACAAAACGGCCTTCCAATGCTTCTAGCTTTTCAATGGTAATCTAGCTTATATCGACTCATGAATCCAACTATTAAAATTACTACAATCTCCACAAACCCCCATTTTGATATTTAAACTTTTATTACCAGAAGGGGTTTTGTGGATATTATAGTAATTTCAATAGCTGACATCATGAGTAAATATAAATGTAGCAAATACAGGTAGATTATCTTTTGTAGTTACGATACGTGAAGACTTATCATTATCAAATGCAACATACATTTATTGATTATAAATTCCAATGAAATTGACAATGAAATTCATTTTTTTTCTTTTACACTATTTCTATTTACAGAATTTTCCTTTAAAAACTAGTTTGGATGTATTACGCAGGAAAAGAGGTTAGTCAAGTTTAAAGTACAAAAATTTCAACAAACAAAAAAAAATTAATGTGCAATGATAAATATTTCCTTTTCAGTTTGGTTATTCTTTTTATCTAAAAAGTATTAAGGTCTAAAACAAGCTATTTATCTGATTCAATGTATAAAACAAAGACTTTTTTTAAAAAAGAAAAGGAAACTAATAACATTTCACCGTGTTTAAATTGTTTATGACGATTTTTAAACAAAGACAGATAGTACTAGCAGTGATGTCCAGGACTCACGTTTCGTTCTATTTGGGACTCGTCAGTTGAATGCACTTAAATTCCAAAGTTGATATTCACTCTAGCACTCAAACTTAGTACCGTTCGCTTCAAACGCCATTGCGTTATCCACCTAAGTACTGAGTCTTGAAAGTCACTTGCTTGTGCAATGATCTGAAGTTTAAATTCACTTGGTACTGTTTACTTGAATCTTCTCATTGATGATTAGGTTTGTAATTGATCAGTCTCTTATTGGCAAATATGCATCCTGTGTGGTTTGCCTCGATATAGCCTTAAGTCACAAAATTTTAAAGCAATAACATTAAAACTTGACAACTACTAGCTAGTTAATGTTATTAGTTGTCAGGTTTTAAATAATCATAATAAATATACTTTTTTGTGATTAGACGGTAGTTGAAGGCAGTCGACAGGAAACCCTGGACCCGGGTTTCGTGCTACTTGGCACTCGTCAACAAGGTGTACCTGCACTCGGGTCCAGAGTTTCCTGTCGACTGCCTCCAACCACCATCTAATCTCAATATGTAGTGCCCGCAGTGTCGAGTCACCTAGACTGGTGACCACATTGCAACATGATCGATAGCATTCGATCTGCACTAATAAGGACTAGACACGCATGACATTGATCGCCACCGAGTGATCAATCAATTGTGATACGTCTTTGTAAATTATCAACTGAATGTAATCTAGTGATCCTTTTTGTGAATTTTAAATATTTACCTTGTTTAAATTTTTATTTATAACCGGAGAGAAGATTTTCAAATAATTTGGTTTTTTTACCGTTAATATAATAAATGTTGATGTATGATTCAAATTTCAATGCAATAGATTACATTTACTTACTTTATAGATCAAAATACATCTAAATTCTTTATATATATATAACTGCATAAAATTAATATGGAATTATAGCTGATATTACTTACTTACTTTACTTACGCCTGTTACTCCTCGTGAAGGAGCATAGGCCGCTCACCAGCATTCACCATCCAACCCTGTCCAAAGCAATCCTTTCTAGCTCCGTCCAGTTGTAATTCATCGTTTTCATATCTGCTTCTATTATCTGACGCAATGTGTTCTTTGGCCTTCCTCTTTTTCGCTTCCCTTCAGGATTCCAAGTTAGGGCTTGCCTCGTGATGCAGTTTGACGATTTGCGTAATGTATGTCCATTATAGCTGATATGGGTCAAATAAAGTGAAGTCTTCATAAACTGAATGATGACTTTGGGAAAATTTGAGAAATTCATAATTTTTCACTATTTAGAATAAAAAAGAATGTTCACTAGTTGTTTTTATTCATTATGAATTTTGTTCATCCAAATTTCGTAATCAAAATTACAACTGAAGTCGAATTTTAGCAATATGTATAAACAATTTGTTGATCCTATGACCTTGCTGGTCACAGACAAGAATGTCTCAACAACTTAGCGGTAGGGGGGTACAAATAAAAAGAATATAATTTTCTAGATAACCCAACCACATACATTATGTACAGAATAGATAAAATGTGACTGGCAGTGGAATCCAGGACGCTCATTCTGTCCAATTTGGGACTCATCAGCTAGATTTATCTGCATCTCACAGTTGGTGTTCACTTCGGGAGTCGAACCCGTTACCGTCCGTTCCAAAAACTATCGTGTTATTCACGAGTCCTTAAATAAATGAAACGGGCGCCCCGAAATCCACTGTTAGTCATATTTCATCTATTATATGCTAAATTATGCCATAATGGCTATTTGGAAGTAATTCTCACAATACCCATATATACTGACTACGACCGATAGAAATTCAGTCAAAAATACTAACAGTGGGATTATCCAATCCATTTCAAATTCAGCTGAAACACATGCATTATAATTACAACTCATTACTTTAAAATAAGACATTTATTATAGCTTCGTATACAGGTGAGAAATAAGTTTAACTTTATTGAATATGAGACTCGTTTGGAGACCAACACATAAGATGATGAAACTTTTCACTGCGGACTAGTTCTGAACCTTATTATTTAGCCATTATCATCCATTTTATTTCTAAAAAATATTTTCTGCTTACCATGTTTTTATTTCGTTATTAGCCTTCGTATAAGTTCGCTACAGATTTCAGTCATATTGACGTAATTTACCTTAAATCGACCTAATTTCTATCGCTAGACTAATGCACACCATTATCTTTGTACACTTTTTCTTAACCAATCAAAATACCAACATGCTAATTTCTGGCAAAATGTTTTAATTTGTAAATTATGTTTACGTGTGTCCTTATCAAAAATCTAACATTTTATTATATCGACATGCATGATATGTATCCCAGTAATCTTGGGTAAAATAAACCAGAACATTTTATTGATTTACACATTAACATGTAAAGGTATATTGTACATAAATTTTAAATTCCAACAATAAAAACAGAATTAAATCTCTTTTCATCTAAAGAGTCTCGTCAAAATTGTAATTTTACATTCAATAAACATGTACGTACGTGTTCAATAATAGCATTGACTAGAATTGATTTTGCTAGTGCAAATTTAAAGATCTATGGCACTCAATGAGAGAGTCCATATGGGTTATTCTAGCTTTCGGACAGACCAATTCATTTATCTTTCTTGAGTGACATTTTGACCTTGTCAATTATTTGCTTATTAACCTTGATTGTTTTTATATGACCTTATGTGTGTTAAGTGCCTACCCTATTCAGTAGGTGTCTGTAGCTTATTTTTGTCTGGCTATAGATATTGAATCACACTTTATCAAAAGGAGTTGACTCACTCGCCTTCTCTTTATCTTCTCCGCTTCTTATTCTCAATATCTGTCTGGAAAAACGAATTACTTACTTACCTGTTACTCCTTGTGGAGGAGCATAGGCTGTTCACCAGCATTCTTCATCCGACTTTGTCCTGGGATAGAAAAACGAATGTTTGAAATAAATTCCTCCAACGCAACCCATATTTGGTTTCGTATTTCCGCCGTCACACAAACGGGCTTGGCCTAAGTAATATACGAAGTTAAACGGTTTATTTTTGAACATAAAACATGGTACCAGACACTACAATAGAATAGCAATGTCATTATTCCATGTATATTACTTACAGGTTTACATTTTCGCTAACTAATTATTGTTTACTAAAACAATAAGTGAAAGTCATTATGTCATTTAGGAATTGTAAAGACGGTTTAGATATCTCATCCCTGAATAAATCACTTATTTTTATTTTTTGATTGTTCCGTACACTTCAGTCTAAAACACATTTGATAGATGTTGAGTTATGGACAAAATGTTTCAGTTTTTAATTTTCGGAAAAGATACTGTGTAATAATTGAAATAGTAATTTAAAAAATGTGTAGTGGAAATAGCTTATAGATTAGTAGCATGAAAGCCATTTGTCCATTTGATGAATATACAGAAATATAAAAAAACAGACGATAATACAGAATTATGAGGTATGAGAAGTAGGGAGAGGTGCAAACCGTTATTAAATGGATGACTAAACATGTTACTTAAAGACATTCCAGTGATGAGTTATCAACGCATCTTGTGCACATAAATTTGCAATCAGCACTCTCTTTAAACTCGTTTGGTTAACTTTACAAACAATTTTGAAAGATACATATGGTGATAGTTACTAATCACAATACACGAAGTATCTGCGGAAAAATGATCCTAGATACATTTCGAGAGAGGTTGGTTTTTACTGCAAACAGTATTAGTCTTACATGGGCAAGAAAACGGAAGTAACCTCGCTGGGATTGTACACAACAGCCATTTATTTTTATCATATCTAAGAATTTAGAGAGATCTCTTCAAACACCGAAAATCCTCAGGTTTGCGTGTGTGTTATTTAGAGAATGTATCAAAATGATAATCCTGTTTCCTTCATAAAGATCATGAATAAATCCCCTAACCTTTCATTCGCGAATATCTTCAGTAGCTTTTCAGACATCAAATCTACCGGGATTACAGATTTTGTTCGATTTTGAAATAAAGTTTCTAAGCGAAGAACAGTTTGCCTATTTGGATCTTCATCAGGTTTGATTCTAACACAGTGGTATTTGTATGCACATATGCACAGTTCGTTCTGTTCTACTTTACGGCTGAGTAACGTGGTCATTAAGAGTAGAAGATGCCCGTAAGCTACTAATATTTGACCACAGATGTCTTAGAAATGTTGCTCGCATCTACTGCGATCACCGGGTAAGTCATAGTGAGGTTAGACGTAGGGTACTAGGGAATGATGGTAAGTCAGCTGATGAGGTTGTGAATCTTCATTGACTGAAATGGTTGGGCCACGTGTTGCGTATGTCTAAACGGCGATTACCATGACGCGCAGTGCTGACTAGTATTGGGTATGTTTAGAAGAAAGTTAGGAGCGGCCAAATTAAAATGTGGCGTCAGTCCTTGAAGACAATAACTTCAAGTCTGAGCCATGTTGGGAGATGCAGGCTACTTGGTTGGGGTCCGCGTGACTATCGTAACCGATGCTTGGAAAATCTGGGTGACATGGCTCAGAATCGATCACAATAACGAACTAATTCTTTCTTCCTGTATTATATCCTTATATGCAATCTTTCTTTTATATATTACTACCATTGAAGCAACTTCCTCTGTGAATTTGGTGTTGATCTTGCTGTGCTAATGAGGTGTGGCAACTTGAACCGATGCATATATTTGCCCGGTCCTACATTGTAGTTGACTGACTGATTAAAAATATCGAAGTGATAAATATAATTTATGATTTAACGAT